ATTTGTGATTCACGAATTGGGGAACTCCCCTTCTAAAACTAGAGAGCTCCCACAGGGCCAAGCAGAACGGTGGGTTTTGTCAAGTGGGCACAAGGAGACAGAACGATTTAAAAAACCAGCCTGATTGGTCAAGATCAGGTCACTTATTTTTTAACTTTTTTGGGGTGGTGGGAAGGTCAGGGCTGAAGCAGAGGGCCTTTCTTATTATACTGGCTCCTGTTTTCTGGAGAAACTGGTCTATTTGGGGATCTGTCCGCTTCCTTCAAGTTTCCGTATGGTAATGGGGCAGTTGTCAAGAGGGACTCCATGTTGGTCTGGTCTGGTCTGTTGGGACACGTGCAGGAGCTCAGGGCAAACAATGGCCTTGGTCATTTTGTCTAGCACGTTGCTCCTGGTGACAGGCCCGCAGAGCCTGGAGGTCTCACATCGGGACACACTGTCCTGGTGCGGAGTCTGTCCTGCTGGTATCCGCCCTCGAACCATTGAAAGCCCTCTCAGGTCGCTGCCCCGCCTCTGGGCACTGTTCTGGCCACCAGCTCCCTAACTTCTATCTCTTCTTCCTCACAAGCTGCCTTCCTGAGAATCTGCCTGAAAATCCAGTCCCAGTTTCGTGTGGGACGTGGCTTGCACGTTCCGGGGACGGGCACACTGGCTGATACCTCTTGACCACCATTCCAAGAGGTTGTGCTTCCCACTCTTTCCAGCGACTGCCTTTTGTGGTCTACATTGCACTCCCACTGAAAAGTCGCGGAACCACTGTCTCCAGGTTCACTTAACAGCTCTCAGTTTAAATCCACTGCTCACAGCCCATGGGCACTTCATGGGACTCCGTTGCTGCAAGACCAGGCTCTAGGCTGTGCTGAGGTCTCCCTCCAAATGCCGTTTCCCTAACAAGGTTAGAATTGACGGTCTGAAGACTGAAGATATTGAAGCACCACCAATTTTGACTTAAAAGTCCTTTCTTTAAAAATAGAACCTATAATTTTGCAGACAGCGGGTTCTTAAAAAAAAAAAATGAATGCCTTCCACCATAGCTGTGGGATCTCCCCAGAGATGATGATGGAGTCATTTCTGCCGAGATGCATGATGAAACAAGAAAACACCCCCTTTCCTCTCTGACCCCAAGAAGGAGCTCTTGGTTGAGGAGCTGGGGAGCTCCCGCATCGGTCTCTAATTGTCTGTGTCTCCTTCTCTCTCAGCTTGTCACATTCTAGAATGCTGTGACAGACTGGCCCAAGACGTCATTGGCTCCATTGGCCAAGCTTTTGAGCTCCGATTTAAGCAGTACCTGCAGTGTCCTTCCAAGATCCCTGCTCTCCAGGACCGGTGAGTAGTGCTGCCACACCACTTGCTGAAGCCCCTCTCTCTGTCCCCAAGCCACACTCTGGTCACACCCAGTTCATCCCAGGGCTTCCTGGGCTCAGAGACACCTGCTCATGTTGGGCTCGGGCACAGGAAGTCACAGATGGAAGGCAACATATGGGTGATGCTTCAAATGTGTAGAAAATATTTTCTTGAAACTATAGTGATAGTAACCAAGGTTACCAAAAAGCAACTTCATTG